TTGCTCCATGGGAACATAATGAACAATAGTTAGAAACATTTGTCAGAGGAGAAACACAGTAAATTTTTGGAAATCTCTCATGAAGTTTTAAACCGTGACCTCTCAGTATGGGAATTGTGATAAATGTGCAGTTAAAAAGAAAAACAATATCTTTAAGTTGTCCTTTAAAATATCTTAAGTGGATTTCTCAGGAGAGCATATTGCTGGATTAACCCTACTAGCTGAGGACAATAACCTAAAATTCTATTAAGTGCTATTGAAAAAGGCTAAGAAACTTATAGCTAGGATATGGTTCTTACACTCAGGTTGGAGCTATAGAAACCCCGTCTCATCAGAAGCTTCAAGAATCAAAGGAAGTTAGGTCTCCAGGAACACTCAATTTATTGTTATAATGGAAGCTGAGTAGAGGTCACTCATTTACTTGCTTTATAAAAGGTTTTTGTGACACAGAATCAGGTCAAGATGAGCCATTATGCTTACTTGGTTCATTATTTGAAACGTAAACCATCTAAGTATCAATATTAGAAAACAGTTCGAGCTAATGTAAAAAGGGAATGAAGAAACAAAATTACTAAAAGATAGGTGCTTTAGACTACTCCACATACAAAGAAAAAAAAAGAAAAGATTTCCGTCTAACAACAAAAACAAAGCAAAACAAACTGGAAGAGACATTATTCTGAAATATTTACAAATTTTATCTCATTTATTAATGTGCATTAAAAGTTAGCTAAATATAGCAAAGGCAATACAAAACTGTTCTTAGAAGGTTAATAAATAAAAATATTGGAGATATTGCTGAGTAGTAGAAAAAAAAGACTGAAACTGCTTGGTGTTCTAAATGTCATAGAAAGGGACATGGTGTTGAAGGATAATAGATCATGCTTCTAATATTAAACATGATTTTATTTGTACGGTAAACTTATTTGTGACATTGCAAAAAAAAAAAAAAACAGAAAACTTAATTCTTCTTTTAATCCTAATAAATAAACCTGGCAGAAGATAGTAACCCTACAATGTTTTAAAAGGAGGAACTGGAGATTTAATTTTCAGTCCAATTCGAATTATGCAATTTTAAAGCTGAAGTTGTTTTTAAGAAAATAATCACAGTTCATAAAGAACTGATCTTAAGCAATTAAATAAAACTGGCTTATGTCAGATTCTTATAATATTTTTTCTTTAAATATATAACTGTAAAATAAAATTTACCATCACTCTTTTCATCAAGGGATGGGAAGACAGAAGTAATAGGCTAAGAAAATTTTTAAATAAAGTAGTGTATTAGACTATATGAATATTATAGAGACAAATATGAAAAATTTTGTATATGATATATTTTTCATAGAATAAAGATATCTAAAACAACCTCTCTTTTACAGATCTCATGAAAGGAATGAAGGAAATGTTATGGGAATATAATCTTTCCAACATTATTTAACATGTCCATCAAGTGAAATTGGCCTGTTTTTTTAAGAAATCAATCTAATCCATTTAGCAGATCACCTTTATTAATAACTGGACACAGTTAATGTCTTTGAATTTATAATTGAAACAAAAATTTTAGAGCTAGTTAAATTAAAGACCATAAAACACTCTAGTTTTCTGTTTCATCAATGAAGAAACTGGAATTCATTGTTTTCTAAGGTCTAGAACAAGAACAATTGTATAAAACAGTGAAGAAAATGTGATCAAGATGAATAATGTAAGTTGGTATGCTTATTTCTACAAGGTAACAGGCTATGTATTTAACAAAGAAAAAAAAAAGAAGTAGTTCAAAATACCAGATAAATATTTATAAGTATTTTCAAATATCAAATAATATTTAGTCTCTAGCAAATCTTACTGAGCACTTGATTGCATATCCATTTTTTTCTCAAGAATTTTACAACAATATTTGTTTCAAGTGTGATTCATCAAAAGTAGTGAACTCTACATTTACCCTTTTCTTCCTTGTCTTAGGCTACCAAGGAAAAGGGGGAAGAGGGAGAAAGGGTGAAAAGAGAAGACGTTCTAAAGAGCTATGTGTAAGGATTTATATGGGGAGAGAATGACTGTTCTAGTTTCAGTTTTCTGTTTCTGTATATGCTGGGACATCAGTTCTTTCCATCATTGTTGTAACAACCTGTTAGCAAACTAAATAATTCAAATGGACTGTGATTTTTATAACTGTGAAGTGTTTCTAAGGCGTCCCCCAAATTAACAATTTACAAAATATATTTTAGAACTATGCTTTTAGTTGATGAATACATTAGAAGCTGTGAAAATTAATTCCTTTCAGATTGGCAGTCTAGCTCAGAATTTACTATTGATTGCCTGAAATATTCCCTATTTCTTAAACCATTTTTTAAACAATAACAACTTCGATTTTGACTCTGCTGGTTTCACTTATCTGTGCTATCCTTAGAAAGAGGATATATATATACACATATATGATACCTCAAGATCAATCTCTCTTTTTCGTTTTTCTTTTCTGCAGTAGGGGGAATTGAACCCAGGTGTACTTTACCTCTGAGTTACACCTCCAGTTTTTTTTTTTTTTTTTTTTTTAATTTAAAGATTGAAACAGGGTGTCCCTAAGTTGCCTAGGCTGGCCTCTTTCCATCCTCTGGCCCCATCAGCCTCCTAAGTAATTGGAATTACAGGCGTTTTCCACTGTACCCAGTGATACCTCAATATCTCTTAAATTATCCCCCCGAATTACTCTCAATGTCATGTTATTTCCTTTAGGAAATTTATTTTTCACTCTGTGAACTGGTGGAGGTCAGCAGCTTAACATTTTGGCCAAATAGAAATTCTAAGCTTTTAAAATTTTTTATACCTGGTAAAATTTGTATAAACAGAAAATTTTGTAACGATCCTGCCTACTAGTAATTAGATATGTGATCTTAGGCAAGTCATTAAACTTGGCTTTAACTCTCTGGAATACATTTTCTGTCATTACATCATTTCTAGTACAGAAAATGTTAAGGTATTTTCATTTCAAAACTGCTTATTGTTCTGGAGCAAGAAGACTAGCCACTTCAACATTCTGACACTATAACAGATTTAAAATCTACACTATGAATGTAGTGGTCATAATTGTGGATCATTTCTCCAAAAAACACTAAATGTTGACTAATGTAAATGGTCAAAACACAACATTTCTTGAGTCTTGAACTACTTATAAGTTTAGATGTATTTTTCCACTTGTGTTTAAAAGACTTAGTCTCACAGAAATGACAAAATTTTAAAAATATTAGTAACTTTTTCAAATTGCAGTCAAACTAGGTGACTTGCCATATTGCTGAACATGGAATTATATCTTATTTGTAATTAAAGCATGCCATAATTTTAATATATTTTCTTATAATTTATTCTTTTTAAATACACATGGCAGTAGAGTATATTTCAACATATTATGCATACATGGAATATAACTTATTCTAATTAGGATCAATTCTTGTTTTGTATGTGAATGTGGAGTTTCACTGGTGGTATATTAATATATGAACATAGGAGGGTTATTTCTGACTCATTCTACTATCTTTCCTATTCCCATCTTTCCTCCCTTCCCTTCATTCCCCTTTGTCTAAAATTTAAAACATTTTAAATGCAGATAACTTGGTGCCATCAGCCAAAACAAATATGCATAGTCAGTGTGCTTTGAACAATAGGAAGTCCAAAGAACAGTTTTAAACCACAGAGTTCAATAACTGTGCTCCAGATATGAATAGATAAAAGCATGTCAGAAATGTGTTGCTCATAATAACAATTATGGAAGACAAAGACCCCTGGCTGGAACATCTTACCCATGTTCCACTGTCCCACTGAAGTTTTCACTGGCTCATTAAAATTCCAGGTAACAAGGAAGAACAAACACTGATTTATCTATGTAGCTGAGGGTAAAGAAATCGCATGCACCTGACCCAGTTAGATAAGTTTGTTAGGGAGAGGTTTTGCTGCCAAAAACTTTAAAACATGGCTAATACATGAATAAAATAATTTTGAAAGGTCTGCTTCTGTCTTCTATGATATTTACAGGTAATAAAATGCTATATTCTCAGGGAATAATTTCAAAAGAATGATGAATTTCTACACAAATGGGGAACATTTCAACTACAAATCCAACAGTTGCTTCGAGATACAGGATGTGACATAAGGTTGGAGTCATAGCTCCATGAATTATGAGACCCTGACAGTCACGGCAAGTAGGTGCTGAGTACTCACTATGTGCTGTGGCACTATGACAAGTCTCTTTATCTGTGATGTGACTTAATATTCATCAAATCTCTTTGAAGTAAGTAATTTTCAAAAAGGGAAACAAATTCTGTCAAAGTTCATGCTAGCAACAAAGAGTGAAAGCAGGACATACCTGGCAACTTATTTTTCCTTTCATTACCAGTACAGTTGCTTCTTTCCTTCTTTATTGATGTGCCTAATCACTGTGCACTTCCATACATGAAAAACATAGAGGACCATAGAGTCTTCAGACTTGGTTTCCCCAGGCAATACTATGGGTAAGGGCTGACATGAAGACCAAATCATCACCTTCCCTGTGTTCCACTCTGATGACACATAGCTCTTGAACAAACATTCAGTAAAAAAGCTCTCTGGCACTCTTTCTCTAACTGATAACCTTTGGTACCTTTCTGCTTCAGTTTCCTGCACCTACCCCATTAAGAACACTTACATTTTAAATACTAAAGCATAGAAGAACCAAAAAAAAAATAACTCTAGAGAGACAAAATAAAATAAAGCATGGAGGAAATGAAATATTTCTCCACAATAATTTGTTCTCAGGATAAGATGAAAATCACTGGCAGACTGCTCAGACTGAAGCTCCCTGATACACTAGGGCCTGGGACAGTCATCATTTGCAAGATGTGTATGGCACATGAGACAACACGTCATGAATTAGGCTGAAAGTAAATTTTAGATTGGAAGTCATTCCAGTTAGGTCACATAAGAAACAAAAATATGTTGTTTTTTTTAATTGAAAGTGTATTGAAATTCTGATTTCTGACCTGGATCTGTTGCTGAAGCAAATTGATTTTGTGTTGTTGCTGCAGGAGTTGCTGCTGTTGTCTTGCAATCTGTGGAGAAACAGCACATGAAAAATTTAAAAATACATTGAAGTGATTGGGAAGAGCGGATTACCTATGTTTTGTTTCTCAGAGTTTTATCTTGATACTGATCAAGATGCTGAAAACAGATGTGTCCTGCCCCGAAGTTATGGTCAAATCACCCTTAAGTAGGATCAAATAAGCATTTAGTCTCCAGAACTAGATATGTTTCTTTTGGCCTAAAATAAATGAAACCCAAGATATTTCAACAGTGATCTATCCCAGTAAGAAGCAGTAGGGATTCAAAGTCTCTCTTCCTGATGATATATTAAGAAGACACTGTTCTGACCTTTCAGCCCTTTTCTACAAAAGAAAGAGCATTGCACAAATGGGGTTGTTGTGACCAAGGAGTTCAGAGAAGCATACATTATAAAGAGACTAGATACAGTGACGTTTTTGATAACTTTTTTGTTGTTTTGTGATAAACACTGTTCTCATTTTAACTTTCCACAAACGTCTAAAGGCCAGCTCTCCAGAACATCCTATTCTAGGGGTATCTGTACCCATATTTCTCTACCAAAATGAGGTCACCAATCGCCTCTATTAAATTCTGAAATGTGTTTTAATGATCACTTTTTAATGTTTCATCAGAATCTGACCCTCAAACACCTTTTATCAATCTTGAACTCTCTTCTGTGTTTTTTATGTCATAACATTTCCTTGTTTTTTTGCTACCTCTCTGCCTAGTGGCAGGATGCTGTGATCCTCTAAGGCTCAATTGTAGACACTATTCTTTACCCTCTGTGTGTACTTTTATATAGATGCCAAGTGCTTTGAAATCTGCTTCTCTGGTCTGCACCTTTGTTTTAAGCATTAGACCTATCTACCCAGAGACATACTCAAAGGTACTTTATGGTCAACAGATCCAAAACTAAAGTCAAGATTCGGTCCCCTGTGGTGTGGTCATTTTAAGTGTTTCCTATCCCATGGACGAGCAAGAGTACTCCCCTGTTACCCACAGTTTTAACAACCTCTGCACTTACTTAATACAGTGCCCCATCCTATGACTCCAAATTCATACTTTCTGTCTCCTGGGGAGAACTCCATACATTCAGTGAGGTTAAGGAGTACGCACAATTTGCTCCCTATTTGCACAGAGCCTGGTATAAAAGGGATACTGAATGAATATTTAATGAGAACACAAGAACTAATAGGTGAAGAGAAAATTTTAAATAATTTATTACATGATATGGAGTAGAAAGCCATCTCATGAGAATGCAACTTCTGGCCTCATGAAACCTACCACTCTTTTATAAATGAGCTCTAGGTCTCATTTTCACCAAAAATAAGTGATTCTCAGCACCATGATTTATCATATTTATCACAAAAATATGTCTATGAACCTCTGTGGTGGAAAATTAAAATTCAGGAAAACATTGATACATCACTGTGAGTAAAAGAAAAAAAAAAACTCATGTGATGGGAATGGTTCTGCATGGCTATATTATGGTTTTGATTTCCTTTGTGGACTTTGGTAAAATTATGATTTTTTATTATTTTTCATTTTATCATTGGAATATGGTAAAAAAAAAGACCACTTCTGTTTTTTTTTCTGACGAAATGTAGAAAATGATAAAAACTAAACATCACTCATTTCCTTCAGTCTAGTTCTTCTCTTCCACATATAAGTACTTGAATTGATATTCAAATCCTTTTAACAATGTGGTGAGAACACCTAATGAACCAAGTCACACCTTCATGATCCTCCTGTGCTGAGCCACTGAGCCTTCTTCCTGGATTGCTGTAACAGACACCTATTTGTTCTTTGTCGGTTTGTCATCAGTCCCTACAGTAGATTACAAATCAGCACCCAGAGAGATCTTCTTATGATATAAGTTGTGTTGTGTTTTTCCACTTTCAAAACCTTTGTGCTCACTGAGAGCACAAGCTGTATACTATATAATGCCAGCAAACCCATATGATTCTTGCTACCTCTCTGGTTTCATCTCCTTTTCTCCCTGTCACTTCCTCACCATACTTCTCTCCTGTCTCTTGAATACACCAAGGATGCTGTTGCCTCTCAAGGCAAGTGCCAACCCCTGGGTCTTTGCGTTTGCCTTCCCCTTTAATCCGGAACACACTGGCTCAATGGCCATGTGGCTCACTCCCTTTCTTCCTATTAGACTGCTCAAATGATACCTGGTCGATGAGTTCTTCCCTCGGTACTTTAAGAGAGACTATCTTTGTACCTGATGCTCTCATCCCAATTACCTACTTTATTTTTCACCCTATTACATATTCATACATACTATAATTTAGTGGTTTATTTATTGTTTGTGAGGGATTTTGGTCTGCTTTACTCCCTTCAGTATTTCTAGTAATTAGAACAGAACCTAGCACTAAATTTGTGTTTAATAGATATTCATGGAATAGTGGAATGCAGAATGGAGCTCAGAATCTGGTGGGAAAGTTGATGGTGAAGTGGGCCCATTTACCTTTGTAAGGTACAGAGACCTGGGACATCCTGCCCTGAATAGGGAATCCTGGAAGGGAAATTCTCGAGAGAGGCAAGCCTGACCTGGATCTTCAAAGTATTAATGTCCTTCCTGGCAAGATCTGAAACTGCAGAATGGTGACTGTGCTAGCCAGCTCTGTACAGTAAAGGAGACTGGGAGAGCACAATGGGTTCTAGAAACTGGACCTGTAGCTCTCCTGAGGGACTGACTACCTCTCAGGCAGTAGAGGCAGCATTGCCAGGCATCTCTCCAACACTGGAAAGAAATTCTGGAAGGGGCCTCGGGTTTCTAAAGTTCCAAGGAAAATGGTCAGAGTTCTTCAGAAAGTAAAACATTCTAGAATCCCCATATGATACTCAGGAATGGGTCAGAGTGTGAAATAAAAAGAGTCTTCCTCTCTATTTGTGAATGCTTCAACTTTTCAGAAAAGTATTCCCTGAAAACCCTTAAAGTAAGTAGGTATTCTCTACAAAAACAACAACAACAACAACAACAACAACAAAAACCAAAAACATCTGAACCACAGTTTTCAGAGGCTCCTAGGATTCTCCAGAATTCAGGTGAGTGAAGACATTAAAAGCTAAGGATAGGAAACATGTTGTTTTTCTATAGGGTGACAGGCAAGCATTCTGAACTCGTTTATTGCAGAGCTCAGCAAGAAGAATGTGGGCCATATTTAGTAACTTGCCAACAAATCTTTAAGAAAAGTGATGAGACATTTCATTCAAAATAAAAATACCATCTCTTTAGCAGAAATGAACCATCAAGAAGAGGAAAATGAAAAAAAACAAAACAGGGGAGGGTAGTGTTTTCAAACTATTCAAAAGAAGTAATCTGAGTATTTCTTTACCTCTTTCAACTCTGCTAGTTTACTCTTTGAAAGTTGTTTTGAAGATTTTGCAAAGATGTGTAAACATACAAATACCCTTGATTAAATAGTGGCTGTTCTCCACTTGGGACATTGAGTGAACTGTGCCCAGGACATAGAACAAAGGGCTATAGCCGTGGAAAAATGGCACCATCCTTGTATGGAAACTGACCCTATGGCACCCTCTATGTTACTTTCTCTTTTAATTCTTGCTACATATTTGTCAAATTTTACTGTCTGATTTCTGCTGAAACACTGTAGAAACTGCATTCTTAAAGGCAAATGATGAGAATCTAAATGGTAAAGCTAGTAGCTTCTAATCAATCTTAGAATGATAATTTTTTTGTAGCCTATTACCTCTTAAAAATCTCTGTTGTCTTTGGTTCTCCTGGTTCACAATACTGTACTCATAGCCCTCCTCCTGAATGGGACTGCTTCTGGGGTGTTCACTTTCCTTTCTGATAGCTACATGCCAGTGCTTCCCAGGAGGACATACCCTGAGTTACTATTTCTCATGATATCAATACTGTATTTCAGGGCCTATTAACCTGTGACTCCTCTGCATGAGACTCTCTGGCCCCAGGTACCAATATGGCTGCCTCTAGATTGTTGAGATCTGAGCTCAATTCCCACAGCTCCAGAAAGACATACCCAACCACCCAATCTAAGAAGTACTGCCTTGTCACATCAACCAATATTTATCACATTATTCTTCTTATATATCTCTGAGTTACTTTTCTTTGTCTAATACTGTTTTATTTATCTGTCCCTTTGTTAAATGTCTTTCCACTAGATTTAAGGAGCATTGTCTCTGTGGCTAATTGAGATACAACCTGAGCGATCAGCTCAGTGCCCAGCATATAAGAAGCACTGAATTACTACTTGTTGAATAAGTGAATGGATCTTATGTACTACAGTAGTGTAAACTACAGTCTCCAGGTAGATAATCTAAGAAACTTAGTTCAGCCCTTTTCTTCTACACTACTGATTGAATTTTCTAGCTGCCTTTCACATACCTCTAACTGCACAACTTGATATAAGCTTTAGTTCAGCATAATAAACCATTTTCACGTCTATATCTGCCCTCTGCCTGACCTTCCATATTGGTGGTATTCACCTTCTAGTCCGGCTCATCACTCTTCCTCTCCCTTTTGCCCGCTCAAAAAATTCTACTGACCATAACTCTTCCACCTGTTCATTCCTGTCTCCTCTATCTCTGTTAATTACCTTCTTAGTTTAGATTCACATACATTATTATTTGAACTACTAGAATAGTTTCATCACTGAAAATTCTGTCCCCTAATTGTAATTCACTTCACTTTATTGAATCCTACCTATTACTCAGAGCATATTTAGAATGTCATCTTTCTAATAAATGTTTTTCAAAATGTTTCTGTCTGGAAAAATTTTCTTGACTCTTCATGGTTTTTTGGTACTTATGTCATGACCCATCAGCATTTATCTTGTTTATAAGTAGGGTATCCTTTACCCTAAATGCTTAGGACCAGAAGTGTTTTAGATTTCCAATGGTTGGGGGGTTTGGAATAGTTACATATACATAATGCAAAGTCTTGGGTTGGAGACCCAAGTCAAAACATGAAATTCATTTGTGTTTCTTACACATCTTAAATACCTAGTCCAAAGGTAATTTTATACAATATGTGAAATATGGCTGTGTTTTGACTGCAACCTGGAATCATGTGGAATTTTCCACATATGGCATCATGTCAGCACTGAAAAGTTTTGAATTTTAGAAAATTTCAGATTTTAAGATTTCTGATTATAGATACTCAACCTGTGCTTCTGTTTCTACCAACATAGTTAATAAGCTTCTTAAAATCTGTGTGTGTGTGTGTGTGTTTTGTTTGTTTTGCCTTTTTATTTACCTAGATGGGGCTGGACGGAAGGGCTCTTATTCACCTTTGTATGCCTCAAATAGTGATTGACAAAAATCAAGCAAAACAACGTCTAAGGAACCCGACAGTACCTTTGGATCTTACTCACCTGCTCTTGTTGCTGCTTAGCCAGCTCCATTTGCTGGCGCTGTTTCTCAATCTGAGATGCAGCCAGTTTCTTCTGCTCATCGTGGGCAGCCAACAGCTGCTCTCGCAGACTTGTCAGCTGATTGATCATACCCATGAGCTGCCTCTCTTTCTCAGCTAGGCTTTCTGGAGTCCCTGAAAATAACGTGGTAACAAAACACAGAAGAGTAATGAGAAGAGTGATCTTTCAATGACAATGACTGTCGAATAAGGAACTAATTGAAGTATAAGGTTCGATCCTCATCTATATGAAAACATATGCTTACCTTTTTTTTTAGATTTTCCCTCAGTCATTAAACGTGATGGCTATTTCCCCTTTACTTAACATTAGAATGAACAAACATTTTAAAATCTTGACCACAATAATCTATTGCTTTTTTTGTTTTTACTCTACAAAAAAATTAAAATTTTTTGGCTGAGCATCTACTACTTTTAGTGTTCTATGCTGTTCTGCAGGGAATAAAAGATGCCTAAAGCAGTTTTTGACCCTAGTGTTTCGATTACTGAAAGAGGCAATAGAAAGACATGAAAAATTAATGGCTTATAATTTTTAAGAGATCAAAGCATTATTATCAGTGATAGGATTCTCCTTTCTTTTACAAAAGAATCCTGAAGATTCAGAACTAAGAAATCCTTCCTGAAAAAAGCAGGAAATTTGGGGGGTTTGAGGTGCTGCCCGTACTAGAGTGGCACATGCTAAGTGTGTGATAGATCCTGGCTATTTGTCTAATCAAGTTTTAGACAGTTTTATCATATACCCTCAGAGGCTATCTTCGAGAATAGAATCCACTCAATAGAGCAAGTATTCAAGTTTGTGGCTATCTTGAACAGTGAAACGTGGGAGGGAAATTCACATCGCATTATGGTTTCCTAAGATTAGACATGGATCTAAGATTTGGAGAAGACATAGTAATCACTTGAAAGAAATGGTATGCTCAAGATATTAAAACATGCCAGTCAGTTAAATTACTTATTTGTGACACTGGAAAGGCATGCTACTCCCTGAAACAGGAAAAAAAAAACACCACTTTTAATTGTTCTTTCAAAACTCACAAGATAGACAAGACCCCTACGGTAAAATACTTGCACTAGAAGAGAACACAGTTTTAATTACAATATTCACTTCAAACCTAAGACAGTAAGCATTTGCCACCTCTGTATGTAATTATATGGAAGGATCTCTTACAACTCAGTCACCATTCCCTACCCAACTGCATTTCACCTTACCAATTTAGGATGAAAAATCATGTGCTTTTTTTGGAAGTAGTAGCTGTAGTTAGTGGCTTATAAATATCATGTGCCCAACTGGGATGGAAATAAAGTTTCTAAAAAATGCCACTAATATAGTTCTAGTGAATGAATATCCTGAAAGAATGTCTGTGTGAAAATAAAGCAAGAACCATTATTTTTGTATTCAATTTCTTACTATCCATATCTAGCCTTGTTTAGGGCATGTGACCAAAAAATTGTTGGTAATAATTTATCATACTCTCAGTTTTTTGGATCCCTCCAGAAAAGAAGAACATTTAAGATAATAACTACATAAATATTGCATACTAATATTAAATAATCTCAATAAATCTGGGGAAGATTTCCTTAATGAAAATATTGATATGATAACAGATTACCATCTTCCTACATTGTTAAGAGAAAAGTGAGATACTGTCATGTTTCAAGGAAGAGTGACATATATCACATCTGGGAATGATCATAAACTTCAAAGGATAATTCCACTTCTTTAGAAATGAAGCCCAAAGAAAAGTATAAGAAATGTAGAGAAATATTAATAAGTGTTTTAAATGAAATACTAAAAACAATCTAAATGTCAAAATGGGAATAAACAAATAATCATGAGGTGCATATTTTTTGCAGCCATGGAAGTTATTTGAGAACTATTTTTAATGACATGGGATCTTATTAACAATATAAATCTAAGTGAAAAAGTTAGATAGAAACAAAACATTTTGTAAGGATACCTGAATGCATGCATCCATCTATGTAAAAGGGGGGAAAAAACTAAAAACAAATTTACCTACATATTAATAGTGACTATTTCTAGGTGCTGGGATTATAAGTCATCTTAATTATTTTCTTCTTATTTTTATATTTATAATTTTCTTACAATGAATATTATTACCATCATTACTTATATTAAAAATATAGCTCATTGAAACATGTAGCAATATAACTTAGAAGCTCAACGATGATGCATTATTCCACTTTAATAGTTCATATAACACCAATATATAAAGAAATAATTATGTGGTGGTAAGTATTAAAAAATATCACTTTGGCATTCAGCATATGGAAGATTAAGAAAATTCTGCTGTCTTCATTTAGATATGTAGACAAATTTTATTTTAAATTTTAAACATATTGCCCATGTTTAATTCAATCTTAGTGAACATTTAGTCTACCACTCTACCTCATGTTTCCCCATTGCTGGAGATGATACCCAAGGCCTTGTGAATGGGAGGTAACGGCTCTACCGTTGACCTATATCTCCAAGACCTAGCTGTATCTTGGAGACTCCTCACATGACTTTTTCTGGCCTTGAACTAACTAAAATACTTCAACTCCTAAACTGTGTATTGCAACAATTCTAAAAAAGCATACTCTGTACTTTTAAACTACTTTGAGTCTTAAAAATATATTAGTGTCAATGAAATTATCAGGTATATGCCAAGCCTTATTTTGTCTCCCAGCTATAGTAACCATTTTCTTTTTACAGAATAAATTATCTCTGAGTATGTATCTCAGCCTCATCATTTAATATGTATTAAAGTAGAACTCACCATTATCCTTTAATTTTAAAGCACTGTTACCCATTCAACATTCTCAGCAAATGCTGTTAATATCACCCTCACTTCTCTTCTCAACTACAAATGCATGTCCATAACACCAATAAATTTCACATTAATTTTCCCTCAGTGTATTTTCCTTTAATTTTATGAATAATCAATAATCAATAATAATCAATAATTATAAAGTTGTATCATAAAAAATCTCCTCCAAATAATTGTCCCTTCAAAAGTAACCACCATTATTTTTTTCTTGTGTATCCTATTCTTGTTAGTACAGATTTAAGCACACACCAGAATATTCAAATAATAGCTTGCCAAGGCTCCTATAACAAGGATACAAAGACTGGGTGGGTTAAATAATAGAAATTTATTGTCCATAGTCTGGAGACTATCAAGTCCAAGAAAGAATAGGTTGTTGGCAGAGACCACTGCTCCTGAGTACCATGAGGGAACAATGTATTGTAGGTTTTTCTCCCTAGCTTGTAAAGGGCCATCTTCTCCATGTCTTTACATCAAGACTCTCTATATACATCCATGTCCAAATTTCTTCCTCTATTAAGGAGGAGCTATCATATTGGATAAGGGTCCTCAATAGTGACATCATTATAATTGAACCAAGGCTATTAAGATCTTTCTCCAAATATATTCCCATTCTAAGGTTCTAGGTATTAGTGCTTGAGCATATGAATTTAGGGGAAGGGGACGGCTCATAATTCAAAGCATAAAAATTTCTTTGACATAATGACATAATGATAAATATTGCTATACAGTATTTGGGAAATTCTTGTTCTAGCCTCTCTTACCATCTCCACAGCCATTTTTTTCTGAAATTATTATAATAAACTTTTAAGTCATACTTCCTGCCATCAATAACTACTCCCTCGGTAAGCACATCCTTGAAAATGGAACGAAAATTATCTGCTGAGAAAAGCAATCTAGTTATGTTTCTTCCCTGTTTATAAAAACTTGTTCTTGTCTATCACTGGCTACAGAATAAAATGAAACTTATTCTTGAGAATGAGTAAAGTACTTCAAAACATCACTCAACCTTCCTACTTCCCTTGTGTAACCCCATTTCTAGATAGACTAAAATTTCACATTACCCCCTCCCACAACATATAGGAATCCCCTATAAAAGCCACTTTTTAGAAAGAAGCGCCTTGCACAGGCCATTCCTCCCTAAATATTAATTCTTCAAGTTCCAAGTCATGTATCCTGCTTTTCATGTTTTTTTTTCCTGATTTCTACTGATAACAGCTGCTCCGCTCTCTTCTTTGGAAATCCACATAGTATGTATCTTTATTATAGTACTTAATCATTACATGGTATTATCTCATTTTTACTTTCTTTTCTCTCAACGTGAGGAGAGAGAGCTATGAAAGCATCAATTGTAAATTATTGACTTTTATATCCTCATTACTTGCTACAGGTAAAGGCAAATAGTGTATGTCCAACAAAACAAATCATCTAACACTGTTTAATGAATTACATAAAGAAAAAAGACCCTTCCCTTTCCACTGCTCTCATGTTTAGGCATGCCATATAGCTAAGGTGAAAGGGGAGATGTTTTATCTTATGTGAACTACATAGGGATTCTCGTTTTGGCTTAAGGAAGCTGAATCAAGGAACAGAAGCTTTTACAAAAGAAATCTCCATTAAAAAAAAAATACCAAACTAAGGTGAAGGAATTAACCTGTTGGCTTATTTTTAAATTGTCATGTTCTTCATAACAATCTACAAGTGCATAGAGAGGGCTCAATGAGAAGCCTGAGAAAAATGGAGAAACTAGCTTAGTCACAAAACATTCAAGGCTTTTTAAAAACCAAAAAGAAAATTAACTAGATCCAGAGAAAATCCTGTAGGCTTCAAAAACAAAAATATAAGTTAATGTTTATTCACCTAAATTCAGATTTTGTAGAAGTGTGTTACACAGTGGATCCATGACCATGTTTGTATGAACAAGTTCCTTCTGACTTAGCCAGTTCTGGTATGAAGACAAAAATGTAGGTTTGACTAGCCCCAACTGACTCAGCTACATTGTGAGTTCATTATGTGTGTTTCACTGATAGCTATTTTTGTTTTAGATATTTGTGTTCTCGTGTATTTTAATCTATGCTAGTATTCCTTCAATTCCATTGGAATGAATATATATTGAAAAGAAAAAAAAGAATGCTTCATTTCTTCTTCATGCCTAATGGGTAAGGCATGTCAATAATTCATTGTTTTGTAGAGTCCACAGAAGCAGAGAAGGTTCCTTAATATAATGTGATAGAGACCACGAAAGAAGAGAATCAACTTTAATCACCTAACTCACTGACAGAGATCCTCATC